GCGCTCCTCTGGCAGCCGTCTCCTGGTCATCCCTAAAGTCAGGACACACTCACGGCGAGGCGTCCTTCCCTCGCCTCTGGAAGGAGCTGCTGGAGGACCTCAGGGCCACAGAGAATGTTCATGTTTTTAAGTCCAGGCTCAAGCGCCACCTATTTAGGTTAGCTTTTATCTAATTATTTACTATAGTTTTATTTCTCGTTTTACATGATTATACTTTATTACTGGCTATGATTATATTTTAGCACAGTTTTTATTATTTTACTGTCTATATGATTTTATTTATTATTTATTTTCTTACCTTTGGCATTTATATTAGCTCTTTTATTTTCATATTTTTACTCATTTTAATCCAGTGTTTTCTCTGTGGGGGCCCTCTGCCCCAGGGGTGGTGGTCGACTGTTGCTGCCTGGGTGCTCTACAGGTGGTGTTTAAGTGGAGGTGGGGGGTCTATGCTCCCCCTCCTCTGAGCGCCCTGACTTAGTGTGGAAGACCTGATGCTGCCGGGGCAGATGGCTCCTCTGATGGCGCTTCCTTGCCTTACCTTACTTGGCTCATCTGGACTCAGCCGAATATACATTTTTACTGATATGATTTTGTGTGTGTGTGTGTGTGTGTGTGTGTGTGTGTGTGTGTGTGTGTGTGTGTGTGTGTTAATATTTTCAAACTGTTATGGGAATTTGGGGCCATTTTAATTCTGTGAAGCACTTTGAGTCGCACTTTGCTTGAAAAGTGCTTTATACATAAAATCTGATTGATTGATTGATTGATTGATTGATTGATTGAAATCCAACATTGTATCATTCATGACTTCATTTTTGATGAAGAGCTGATTAATTTACAACATCTTGACCAGATTTTCCTCCACATTCACACACGTTATTAAACAGCTGAAAACCCGTAAATTTCACTCTCTAATGCATTGTCAAACTGGATAAGTAATTACCCAAAACACACGCAGGCAGAGAGTCAGAGCCCAGCAGTAAAACCCACGTTCCACCAGAAACACTCAGACTCTCACCTTCACACCTCAGAGACGTTTGTGCCGAGTTTGTTTCTCTCTCACAGATTTACAGTGAACCACCTGTGAAGGGAGCCACACACACACACACACACACACACACACACACACACTGAACCAGCTGGGAAACAGCAGAGATCCTGTAAAGGAAGTGTGATGATTGATGTGAAAACACAGGAACAAATGAAACCAATCAGAACTAATGGGGAATGGCAGCTCTATGCAGCAGAGTGTGAGCAAACAGAAGGAACATGTCCGCAGGTTGACAAGGATGCAGCTCACATCCTGATTACAGCGGCGGCGCCGGCGTGCCGTACTGCAGCGATGCTCGACTCGGCGTGCAAACGCTCCCCCAGAGCGACGGCTGATGAACGACGACTTTCATGGGAAAATGTTTCAACATTGATTTACAGAAATTAAATTGGAAATGTTTACATGGGGTGTTTGGCTGCAGCTGGTGTATAGATACTGTATTTGGTTTGTAGAGGTGACCTAGCAGGCTGACAGTGGAGAGGGGAGTGACGAGGTTGGAATGGTTTGTTTTAAACATGGAAAATAACTGATGAAATTAAAGGCTTTGATAATAAAAGGTGAAGAGCCACGCATCATTGTGGCCTTAGCAGGTCTACCATTGGCCTGATTAATTTTAGGTCTATGTTAGGGATGTACATAGTTAACCAGTTAACCGTCGTTAAAGTTGTAACTGGGTAAAATTGTTTTGCTCGACCAGCTGAGCTCACGTTCTTCTGCTGCGCGTGGGAGTAATGAATTATTTGCCACCAGATGGCAGGAGAGCGCTACTATTAAAACCAAGAAGAAGAGCTCGTCACATGATCACATACATTTACTGAACAATGAAGTGGTTAGGAAAGTGCACAGCGTGGGAGCATTTATATATATGGTAGTTAACAAAATGAGGTGAGCATCAGAGGGCTGAGCCTGGAAAAACATAAAGCCGAGCAGCAAAAAGGAACGAGACCAGCAACAGGTCAGCGCCACGACTCCTGCTAACAATGTTTTTTATAAATGTTGTAATGGGCGCAGGACTTTGGTTCTGCGTCACAATTATGTTAAAAGAGTAGGCGGAGGCGGTGGAGGGGGTGTTTACGGTTAACCAGGTATTAACCGTTTAATGGCTTCAATAATCGGTTAAACGCATTTTGGAAAATGTGCGTCCCTAATCTGTTTGTAGAGAGAAGTTGGGTGGGCTAAGCACCAGAGCCGTGGCAGAGATTATGTAGTTATATAGGGTTAGAGCCAGACTATATATTTTAGGGATGAACGTTTACCAAAATTTCTTTAACCGGCTATTGATGCCGCTTAATGATTAATCGCCGATTAACCGGAAACCAACCCCTTGCCGCACGCAAACATTTGTCCCTGCTCTATGAGTAAAGCTTTTCCGTCTACTCTTTTTAATATAATTCTGACGCACAACCAAAGTACAACCAAAGTCCCACACTTGTTACACTTATGAACAAAAAGTAAAGAGAGAGCAGGATGACAGCTGGCATGTCCATGTAGCATTATGAATATGCATTTTCTGCCCTTAACAGCTGCCCTTTGACACAGTGACAGTGTGCATAAATTGCCAAGGTCGTGCGCTTGCTTCAGACTTTTACATTCCAGCAAAGAAGACAGAAGAAGGACGAAGAACGCTTTTCATTAGTTAATCAAAGAACTTTATTTCTAATAAAGCTAATCAAAACAACTGTTGGTCAATGATAATCAGGTGACCGATCTGTGAAATCACAATGTTATGATTTATGTGTTTTAATGAATAACAGGACTAACTGAGCTAGACACCCTGATCCACATAAGATAAACACATGACACATTGTTCACTCATCCAATCAGAACTTCCGTTCTAATGCGGGGCAGCGTTCTGTGGTGTTTAGTTAATCTGTCCACCCGATTGGCTAAGATTCATAAACATCTAAGCTTAATAAAACAGAACAATGCCATTTTAGTTTAGTTCCAATGAAAGTTCCAATGAGTTTTCAACGCAGTTCCAACGGAGTTCTAACCAAGTACTCAACCAGCTCTCAAATCCATCTGATGTCCATCCTCGCTAAGTAAAGTACAGACTGTATTTTCTACTTTTAAGCTGAGAACTGTCAAGCTGGAAAATTCTGTCGTTTTATCAACAAGACGACGGTTCCTTCAGAATAAAAGCTGAACTGTCTCTACGTGACGCTGAACCCTGCCGTTGTACCGAGAGGCGATCCATAGACTGGTTTGTCGTGCTGTCGACGCTGTTTCACCAGTTCCAGCACAAGGAGGGTCCAAGGACCTGGCATCCGGATCTAACACGGAGGTCTCCGCACGGTACGTAGATCGGCATAGATCGCGTCTCATGTCTTCCTCCTGAAATCCATCTTCGGTCAGTTAGGGCAAACAACATCTCGCACTCAGACTCGCCTCCACCAGATGGAGGTTCTGAACTGACACACACACACCAACACTTCAGCATTACATTCATCTGCATCCATCATTAGAGAGTTAGTCCTGGTGATTGTTTCAAATAATTATAAAATAAATATTCTTAAACGTCCCATCTCTCTCTCTCTTCTTGTCTCTAATTCAATACAAGGTGTTTGAATAAAACTCCCTGTAGTAAAAACAACATCTTTTGATTCTAAGGGCCCGGTCCAAAGATTAATGATCCAGCTCAGGTTTAGATCAGTGATATCTCTGGACCTTAATAAAAGTGTAAGAATATACCAACTATATTCCACTACATTTAATGGTGTAACGTTATGAACTTCATAATTTTCAGCTCCACACAGCTGCCCCTGTACACAGTAACACCCGTGTAGGAAACGCCAAGGTCGGGTGTTCCTCAGACTGTTTACATTCCAGGAGAAGAGCCAGAAGGAGAAGAAGAACGCTTTTCAATAATCAAAGTACTTAATTTGTGATTAAAGCTAGTCGAAACAGATGTTGATCAATAATAATCAAGTGAATGATCTGTGGAATAAAGATGTCATGATTTATGTGTTTAAAGAGCGGGTCAATTGAGCCTCGGAGTCTTACTCCACCCACGTATCAATTTTAAAAAATGCAACATTAGTAGGCGTTGCCTGGAGGACCGAGAGGGCGGAGCCGCGGCAGTGACGAAGACAATGGCTAACTAGACGAAGCTAGCTCCCTTCACTCTGAGCAGTTATTAGAAGTGGAGGACGTTTCTCCCCCTCCTTACCCAGACACTCGAGAAGAACGGGACCAAGTCTATTTGGAGGAGACAAGCGGACCTGAGCCTTATTGTTTTGAGCTTGAGAGTTGCCTGAAACTAGCGGAACCGACCCAACAGAACCACCTCTGAATGGTAAGTAGCCGTTAGCCATAGCATCAGATTAGCTCCACGGCCCTAGAGAGCTAGTATTCAGCATGTTTTAGAGGTTTATCTGCTTCAACACACCTGGTTTTAATCAGCAACAAATAGCTGAGCTGCTTAACAGCTAATCTAACCTGTTAAAGCAGGAAAACCACTGAAACGTGCTGGATAGCAGCTCTCCAGGAGCCCTGGGCTCAAGTTAGTCTGCTGCATAGAAAGTTATGAAAATACCCCATGAGAAAATTATTCTGTAATGTGTTCAGCCCACTAAAACTGCCCAGATTTATTTATTTACTGATAACAGCTGCTCTCTTGGTTCTTGGTCCTCTGGTGTCTGCAGCTGGTCTCTGGTGTCGTCAGGATCAGGAGCTTCCAGAAGAATGTGCCTTTCAATGACTCTTTCCCCCTTATTTGTTATATTAATTAAATAAATCTCAATTTATATATTTCCTGTTTTTGTTCATGTCCATAAATACTTAAACATGCTTGAAATTAAAACGAGCTTTTAACAGTGAGGTGCTAGTTTAATTCATCACAATAGAGCTAGTTAAACATGCAACAAAAACGTGATAATCAATGTAATTTATACATATCCATTAAAATATCAAAACTGGAATCTAAATGAGATATTTGGCAGCACAAAAAACTTGTCAAACACAATATTTATTATAATAATTGTAGGCAGACAGGAGACAGAGCTGATGGAGGTTCTCAGTCATCGAAGGATGGCTGAAGGCTTTCCAGGAACAGGAGATGTGGTGTTGTCTCTTCTCTCTCTATTCTGCCAGATGAGCTGGTAGGTTACAGGTGTGTGAGGACATCCTCATGCTGTCATAACCAGATGACAGGAGTTATCAGGTGATCAGCCAGGCTAATGAGATGCAGAAAGAAAACAAATTCAGGACAGTGTACAATATGTGGTGTTGCTCACCTTATGTGCTCTTATAGAATATTAATGTGTGCATGCCTCATGGTGTAGAGTCCATATTTTGCTGAGTGTCCTGCAATAATGCAGGTTATTAGTTAATTTACTTTTGATAGCAAAAACAAAATATTTAATGTAAAAGTTATTTTCCAGGTGAATCAGCTCACACGTCACCACCAAGTGTCACAGGGGCAGAATCAGTAGCCTCCGTCATGATGTAATCACATACTTATTTAATTGTTAATATCTTAAAAATTCTGAAATGTTTTAATTTTTTTTTACCTTCAGTTCACTGAGCTTGCACTGTCACTGAGGTGGAAGCTGGAATCAACAGCAGACACCTCACATCATGGTCTTTTCAGGGGTGTGGACGCTGCTCTGGGACCTTCTGGAAGATGAATTTTCATCATGGTCCCCGTGGGTCACCAGACACACTGCGGCTGTGAACTCCATTCTGGCTGCACATTTATAAATGTTTAAAAGAGCATAAAATCACGTGTAACAATAATCTGTAAAACTAATTAAAACTAGAAGGTGATAATAAAATGTTTACATAGAAGATTATTAAAAATAATTCACCTTTGCTACGGGTAAGGCTTCACGTCAGGCTGGACAAGTGCATTCTTGCAGCTAAATCAGTCTGACAGCCAGTGTCTTGGGTAGATTTAGCCTGAAAAAAAAAATAGAAGCACATTGTTGTTGGGAGTTTATAAAGTCAGATAATATACAAAATAATCTCCTATATAGGCGCTTTATAACATTCCTAGTGTGTGATCGTTGTTATAACGTAAAAGTCAGTCACACATGATGTGGAGAGCCTGAAATGCGACCTCCTGAACAGAATTCCTCACAGAACCTGTTCACAAGCTGGATTTCACGCTGTAATGCTGTCTGTCAACTAGTGCTGCGTCAGTTAGAGACACTGTTGCAGAATCACCGACTGACTAGCTAAAGGAAGTGAACCACATCTCTCAAACTTTGCATTTAGGTAGGGAATTGTCTTTAGAAGATGTTAAAACGTTTATTTAGCGTACTCACCTCAGACTGGAGCCCGCCGTGGTGGGGGAGCAGAGTCGGTGGGCTGCATCTAAATCGCGGAAGAACCACGGTGGGCACAGCCTCCCTCTTCAAACGGAGGCGTGCAGAATCGCGGGTAAAATGCCCACAGAGTCACCGCAACCATACTACATTACACCATCTCACCAATACTAAGACGATATGGAACACTAAAACCAAAATACTTTCCCAATTACACTAACAGCCAAACACTAACTAAACTACAATATCCAACAGCCAAGCTAACACTGAATAAGTATTTATAACACTAAAAGATATGCTAAAGACTAGGATATGCTAATGCTATATGCTAATGCTGAAATACCGCTGACCTCCTACGCTCGCTTGCAAATCCAACTCCCACTCGCCACAGGGCGTGGCCGAGACGCTCGTTGCGTTTATAACTTTGGCACGGAGCTGCTACGTAGTACTCTACTGGTTTACGTAGTACTTTACTCTTTAGCCATTGGCTAAAATTTATTCAAAATGACTCAAATTCTATGTTTTCAGCTGAAGGTGGTGCATTACTGTGGTTTTTAGACAGAATTTTTTATTTTTAAAGAAAATGCACCAAAATGCTAAAATAAAGAATGCACACATTTAAAACACTATTAGACACTCATTTATACAGTTCATCAGCAAAAAAAAAGTTAATTTAGACGTTACTTGCTCTTTAATGAAAACAGGACTACTGCACAGACAGACTGACCCTCATCTCCATAGAAACGCATGACACATTGTTCCAACCAATCAGAGCTTTCGGCTGCCGCAAGAGAATCTGGCTTGTTGACTTAAAGTGTCCAATCCGCTTTACTAAAACTTATCAACAATTCAGAGATATAAAACAAGGCAACGCCATTGTAAGCTCAGTTCCATTTTGACTTCAGTTCTGTTCAGTTGGAAGTCCTACGGGGTTCCACCGTCATCAAAAGAGAAGTACAGCCTGGCCAGATGTGCTTTCTTCTTTAACTGAGAACTGTGAAGCTACTGGAGATTTCCGTTGTTTACCAACAAGACGACGTCCCTTCAAAATAAGAGCACCACTAGCTGACGCTGCCGATGGTACCGGTGTCGACCCTTCAGACGGGCTTTGACGTGCTGTGATCGCTGCTTCAACCAGCTCCAGTACACATCCGAGGTCCTAGGACCTGGCATTTCCTGATCTACCTGGGAGACTCCACAGGGTACGTACACGGCAAAATAGCTGCTCATGTCATCAGCTTCCGAAGCCTCGTGGTCCGTAGTCATAACAACCAGATACGCTCCGTCAGCCTAAAGATCCTGAACAACACACACACACACGCACCAACACAACATCCAAATCCATTTTCATCCATCACAGAGTTAGTCCTGGTAGATTGTTTAGAATTTATAATTAAGAAATTAAAAATTCTTAAACGATCCCAACTCTCTCTCTTTTCTTGACTCAAAGTCAATACAGAGTGTTTAATTAAACTCCCTGATGATAAAAACAGTCCATCTTCTGATTATAAAACTAGATCTACTTACAGTATATTAAAATACAACTCTAGATCGTTTCATCACTCTATTTCGTTACAATTGGCGAGCTAAGCCTGATATCTGCACAGTTTACTACACTTTGTGCCGATTTTGAGACATATTTTGGGATTTTTGTCCAGTGTGTGAGTTCAGGGAAGAGGAAAAAGCGTGCGTTTTCCTCATTCAGCTTCTCAGAAAAGGGGGGTGCACATTCATCACCCTCCGACAGGAGGCGCTGTTTCATCAAAACACCTTGAGTGCTGACGTGTGCTAACGGCCATTTTGGGCCTACATTTGAGGGTAAACATTTCTCCTGTTTTATTACGTAGGAACCGTCTGTTTATTGTTTGTCTCAGTGTTTGTGACACTGTGCATCCATTTGTGTAATCGGAGACAGAGGACTCCGTCGGAAATTTATTTCCGTCCAGAAGACGCCTGATCAGCGTCTATCTTTTCCGGAATACTCGTGAGCAACTGCCGTAGCTTAACTTGCTAGGTAACCGCTGTAATTTGGGTTATATACCGTAGAGCGATACTGCATCCAGATTGCGTACGCTGTTACACCCTTTTAACCACGGAGCGAGATGCCCGTTGGTTAATCGGGCAATTTTAAGACCCTGGTCGCTCCAGGGCGTTCGCTAGCATTAGCCAAAGAGCTAACTAGCCACTCTCGGTGAGAGGCTCGGGAACGCGTCCCGCGAAGCTGTCAAGCCGTTCCGACGCGGCGATTCTGCGTCCTTAAATCCGCTGAACCTTCCGGTACGGAGTACTTTAGGTAACGTTAGCGGCGGTTCTAATAAACGCTCCGGTGTTTAGAAACGTGATTCTGCTATGGGGATCAAAGCCGAGTGTCGGACGACGCATGCGCGGCGGTCTGCCATCCTAGGTAACCGGACACGTAGCTCGACCGGCCATCTTGGACAGGTCAAATGACAATTATATTTTTGGCATTATTGAACAATTTTGCCCAAAATATTCATTCAACAGCCAAGCTTCCCTTTAACTAATTCTTTAATAAGTCTACAGGTAAGGTTGTTTCTAAATAAACATCTAAATAGAAACAAAATCAAAGAGTAAATTAGTAAATTAAACAACTAATTACTATTTTGGAAAATGGACTCAGAGGTAACGATGCAATTAACATCTCAACTTCAGGCGATGCAAAACACTTTACTACCAATGATGACTAACATGATGAACATGATCTGCAATCTTCAGAAAGACGTCGAGGGCGTCAAACAATTTGTGCGTGATTCTCAGGCGACCCGGTCAGAGGCTCCGTGTTTGCCTGAGAAGCCGCAAAATGAGACTGAAATGCTGCAGGCTGATGTTTTCACAGGTTCTGACTCACAGGAAAACAACAACACCTCACAGGAAAGCGACAACACCTCTCCGGTCGTTCCATCCGTGGCGATGTTAGGCGATGAACACACAGATGACGACCCCAGAACCACTACTGCTACCGCCGTAACTGAGAAAATTTTGCTTGCACCTCTGGTCGTGGGAAAGGGATCTAATAGGCCCGCAGTGGAGGTCACTGTAAATCAGAGACATCGCTGTGTCGCATTATTAGACACAGGAGCGGACATCTCGCTCATCAGCGGAGCTCTTTACAGCAGCATGTGCGAACAAAGGGGGGAGGACATCTCACCCCCCACACTAATTTCAGGCCCAGAGGATTTTGACGATTTCTATGGCGCTCCATCGTCCGCGGCTGCGACGGCTGAGGTCAACATCTCGATAGGAGGCATGTCCTTTAAACACCTCGTGTACATCAGCGAGGAGATGAGGATGCCCATGCTCATAGGGTTGGACTGTCTCCAACGCCTTGACGCTAGAGTCAGCTGCGCGTCCGGACAACTGTTTGCACGTGTGAGGAAGCCAAGGCCATACAAACCGCGGCCTGACACAGGCGGACGCCTTACTGTGGCAAGTCTTTCGCGGGGGGACGCAATTTCGACCTCACCACCACTCTCGAAGCCACCGGGTAGGCCCCCGGAACTTCTGTCACAGATTGAGAAGGTAATAGACCAAGCAGATGCTCTCACAAACGAGGTTGAGCGAGACAAGCTACGACAACTTTAGCTAAAGTACCAGGATTTTCTTTCACTTGACTCCTTGGACTGTGGTCTGACCACTATCCATGAAGTCCGGATTCCTACCAGGCCAGATGCACCGCCGTCCTTTGTGCGGCAATACAAGATTCCCCTGGCGTCCATAGAACCGGTCCAGGAAATCATTGACAGCCTCTTGGCTAACGGGGTCATTCGACCCTGCAACAGCACCTACTCGGCTCCGTTGTGGCCGGTACTGAAGCCTAATGGTAAGTGGCGACTTACCATTGACTACCGGCAACTCAACAAACAGGTCCCCTTGTCTAGGTGGCCTATGGCACGCCTGGAGCAGGAGCTTCCAAGAGTGAAAGATGCTAAGTACTTTTCCACACTTGACATTGCGTCCGGATTTTGGACGATTCCCGTCCACGAATCGGACCAACACAAACTTGCTTTCTCCTTTGCCAACCGGCAGTACACCTTCACCCGGTGTCCTTTTGGTTATTCCAACTCGCCAGCTGAGTTCAACATCTTCTTGAACAAGGCCTGCCCCGATGCTCGAGAGCGAGGGACCCTCATCTATGTCGACGACATTCTTATTCGTCGGCATACGTTGGACGACCACCTGGACGAGCTGGACCATGTCATGGGTCAGCTCGCGGCGGCGGGTGCTAAGATCTCTCTCGCCAAGGGACAGTGGTGCAGGTCGCAAGTTCAGTACGTTGGCCTCCTTGTGGGACCACAGGGAGTGCAGCCTCAGCTTGGCAGGATTCAGGGTGTTGCCACCATCACACCTCCGACGAACGTCTCCGAACTTCGCAGCTTCTTGGGGGTCTGCAACTACTCGCGTCAGTTCGTGGAACATTACGCTGAGTTGGCACGACCTCTGACTAATCTCTTGAAGAAGGATGTGGCCCATGGATGACCTGAAGGCCACGATGTGCTCGGCTCCGTGCTTGGCGCTCCCCGACTGTGACAAGGAGTTCCACCTTGAGGTTGGTTTCTCAGCTCACTGTTTGAGTGCTGGTCTCTACCAGATTCATGACTGCGACAGGCGTGTCGTAGCCTATGCTAGTAAGCTCTTGGCTGGTCCTGAGTTGAAATACTCGGACTGTGAAAAGGCTTTGCTTTCCACCATGTGGGCAGTTAAGTACTTTGCGAACTACATTGGCGGACAGAAAGTCATCATTGAGACACAGCACCAGCCAGTGACCTTCCTGTCTTTTCGGGTAACGTTCTTGTCAGTCTTCAATCCCAGGACCCTGCTATGAGCAGGATGATCAGGTACCTTTCTGATCCTAAAAACCAGCTACCGACTTCCATCGAGCTTGACTCCATTCCTGAGCTTCGGTCTCTCTTTCGCGTTCGGGCAACGCTGAGGATGGTTGAAGGGTTGCTGATGCACACCGCCAAGCCTCCTTTGCCACCTGTCCTCGTCACGCCAAAGCCACTAAGGGGGGACATGATCACGCAGGCTCATGACTCTCCCTCCGCCGGACACAGAGGTGTCAAGGCCACGTTCGGTGCCCTGAGCCAGGTTGCTTATTGGCCCGGGGATGCGTCGCAACATCTCGAACCACGTCCAGCGTTGCTTGGTTTGTTGTCAGTTTCAGCCGTCCAACCCTACGCACAGAGCTCCCCTACAGGAACGGGGGCCGACCACTCCATGGTCGGACTTGCAACTCGATTGGGTGGGGCCTCTGACCAGATCCAGCAGGGGAAATAAATACATCTTGACGGTCACCTGTGCATTCACTAAATGGGTTGAATGTCTGCCAGCACCTGATGACACGGCGAAGATGACAGCGATCCTCTTGATGAATCACGTTTTTGCCCGCTTCGGTCTGCCCAAGCGGGTCGACTCGGACAGGGGTACTCATTTCACCTCTGAAGTGATGAAACATCTGTGGGAACTGTTGGGTGTGAAGGCTAAGTTCCACATTAGCCACCGCCCCAGTCTTCTGGACAAGTCGAAAGGATGAACCGAACGGTTATCGGCATGTTGAAGAAGTACGTGTCAGCTAACCACCGAGACTGGGATGTGAAGCTTCTGTTGGTCCTCATGGCCATACGGGCTACCCCTCACGAGTCTACAGGTGTCTCCCCGTTTGAAATGATGACGGGTAGACAAATGACCCTACCGCTTCACCTGCTGTATCAACCGGTTCAGCCCGAAACAGTCCCGGCTTATACGAGCGAACAATACTTGCAGGACCTGAAAACCCACCTGCCTGCAGCATTCTCGTTTGCACAGGCAACTCTGGAGAAGTCGGCTGAAGGCAGGAAATCTTATTACGATAAGAAGGCCTCACATTCCGAACTCGACGTAGGTGATGAGGCCTGGCTCTACATTTTCGCTCCCAAAACGGGTAACAATAAGGCGAACTCGGGGAAGCTGGCTAAGAAACTTTTGGCCAAATGGTCGGGTCCATAACTGATAACAGATAAGCTCTCTCCGGTCGTGTATCAGATCAAGATTACCTGCAAAAACAAGGCGCCCGTCTACAAATGGGTCCACAGGGACCATATCAAACTGCACCAGGGTTCCACAGATTTTGTCGATGCCAACAACGACAATTTACCGACTTCGAAAGGGGGGTGATAAATGCGCCTCGTTTGTTCCACGATTTCGGTCTCAGGTTACACAAGATGTATGAGTGTGTGTGTGCATGGTTGTCTTTCATGTATATACATCACAAGCAGACTTGGGGTGTGTTGAGATGGACATGCTGTGGGATCCTGGAGTCAGGTAAACGGCCAGGTAACAGTGAGTGGGTTAGGCCACATAGTACTGTTATCCAAAGTTTGTTTTTCTTTTGATCTTTACTAATCTTAATTCCTTATGGGTACATTAACATGAAAGTGATTACTAACTCCACTGATTTACATTTTAGTATTGATCTACATTTCTGTTTTTTTATAGTGTCTTTGACAGGATTATTGAAACGTGAATGTTATGATTTTCTACAGCGACTTACCTTACAGGGCTATAACCAATTTT